AGCTCTTATATAAAAATTTTTGTCGACAATGTTTGATAACCCATTATAATATCTCTCAATACGCACTTATATACTACGTTCACTATGCCATTAATATTACCACACGAAATCAAGTATTCCCGTTAAATTACACTCCAAGCTTCACCTGCATGGCAAGTGCGACCGATAGGTGATCGATCCATCTGCTGAAAATATTTTTATGGGCAAATGTACGGGCGAATCTACGATGTTTGAAATATGTCTAATGGGTGCGAAGAATTACTAAGGTTGGTAGAGTACTGATATACTAACATCAAAATATTGCGATAGATTCTCTCCACCCCGATACATCCCCTAACTCCCAATTTCCCAGTGTCCTCTGAAACATCAAATACCGAACTTTGAGCGACTTATTTTTTTTTTGTTGTTTAGCATTTTTCTGCTCCACCACTGGACTGATTTCCAATAACGACAAAGCTTTTTTATCCTTGGAATAGTAGAAACCTTGAGCAGAAATTGCATTCAAATATGAGCAGTACTTTTTAATAATTGACTGGCAAAGGATTAGCGGACAGACAGATCGATTGTCAGTCAGGCGGAAATGAGTAGCATGATTTCTCATACTATATAACATGCAAAAATCACAATATACGAGGGATGTCTTTTATGTTTTGCATATCGAAACAAAACAATACGGTAGGTAGTTTTAAATGACTTTATTGTATTTCGAACCAATTTTCGAAGCACTTATTCCACTCGTTTGCTGGCAGATCCAAAACGGCATTTTTGAATGCGTCAACTACTTCTTCTGGTGACTGGAACCTTTCACCACGCAGTCTGTTTTTAATTTTAGGGAAAGTAAAGAAATCGTTAGGAGCTAGGTCGGGACTATGTGGAGGATTGTCCAATAATTCCACGTTTTCTTCCGTTAAATACTGCCTTGTTTTTTGGGCTGTGTGCGAGCTTGCATTGTCTTGGTGGAGGATGATTCTTTTTTCGGGGTTGATTTTTCGAAGCTCGGCGATGACTTTTGGCAAAAAAATAGTGGTATACCAATCCACAGTAAGAGTTACTTACTCATTAAGAGGAATTATTGCAATATGACCCGATTTTGACGCAAATGTCGCGACCATCTTTTTCGAAACACTTCGAGAACGGATGTCTTTTGTTGGCTTTTCTTCACCTTGAAACACCCAAATAGCCGACTATCGTTTATTTTCTGGTTCATAACAGTAAATCCACGATTCATCACCACTAACAATGCTGTATACATTCTTTGAGTTTCCGGAATTGAAAGGGACAAGCGTTTTTTGACACCAATTAACCCTGGCTGCTTTCTGCTCTTCAGTCAACAGGTCGGGTATCCAACGAGAAACTAGTTTTCTTACTCCTAATTCTTCATGTAAAATTTTTGAATTGAGGTCTTTGAGACGCCTTAATCTCGCGATATGTCACATGTCTATCTTCAATGATGAGTTTGCGCACAGCATCGACGTTTTCCTGGGTGACTGCCGGTTTTGGTGCACCCACCCTGGAATCGTCGCTAAGACTCACCGGTCGACGTTTGAATTCTCCATACCAACGGGAAATTGTCGACTGATGTGGCGCTTTGTTGCCGAAAACAGACAGTAACTCATCAAGGCATTCTCGTTGCGATAATTGTATCTGAGAGTTGTAATACATTATGGCGCGAAAATGTTCTCGGTTGAGTTTCATTTTTCTAATTACTTGGTGACACTTAAAAACTCACTGTAGTGAGAACACTGCATGTATTGTTGTGAAACTTTGAATTTAAGTTTACTAAAGAGTGAGGTTAAGATTCAGTACTGACGTTCGATCCGCGCGGCCTACTATGTTTCTATATGCAAAACTTAAAAGACATCCCTCGTATCATCTTCATTTTTTTTGCGATTACAAAACTTCTTCGCTAGTGTATGTGGGAAGTAAACACACTTAAAATGAAGAATGGGGATGATCTGAGTATGTTCGTTCTTGGTTCATACCTTCACTACCACTGGACGAATATTCAAAGCTGTTTTCGGTCTGTCATGGTTTCTTTGCTAAGTAGAATACATTTTTTTTGCTTTAGTGCATGTGTATTTATCACCAATCCGATTTTTACAAGTCGCACTTGCGTTCTCTCTGAATGCCCAATAAGTACGCCCAAAGTTTAAGATATGGAGCAAGTGCACCAAGCAGGCAAATGTGCACAGGGGACTCCTCATGGTTTCCATATGTATAGAGAGTGTTTATTTTTACTCCATTTCTTGAAAAGTAACGATTTTTATTTTGACTTTATATTGTTTTTTTACATTATGTAGGTTTTTCTACAAGATGTTAACTCAGCACTAACTGATGGACACGTTGTGAACTCGTTTTGTCGTGGTACGTGTTGCCAAAACGTCATGAGGCTCAGTTATCAATGTGTGGCTATGACGTGATGTAAAATCGATTGCTAGTAAGTATTCAGCTGCTGACATTTCTAAGTTAAATGTGCAGAGCTGCGTTAATCTATTGACAATCACTATAACTGCTCTTTTTCCTCTCCTAACAAATTGGCGAACTCCGAGTGACCATTAGCGGCTCTTCTGTTGATACACTTTAATCTCTGGGCCATGAACTCCAATAATTGCTTTAAAACCTTCAAAACGGAGTTGATTTCGTCCTCCGACCACCGCTCTATCAATTCGTAATTACCAAAGCCGATATGTA